ACTGGAGTTCAGACGTGTGCTCTTCCGATCTTTTAAAACAAATTTATTTTAGCAATTAAATTGGAATGGTCAAGAATACATCAAAAATTTATGCAATTTGACATCATTTTGACAAACTAAAATTTGATGTTATTTTGATATCATTTTGATGTCATTTTGATCTTTCTGTTCTCCTTGGAATGCTCACTATGCGCATTGTTTACATTAAGAGGTGCTAATCGAGATAGTGCCTTTGAGTATATAAACATGGACGGGGAATGTTAGCTCGAAAACTGTGTTCAAAATGTGTGCGAGAGAGAAAGGTAGACGAGTAATATTCGTCCTCTCTGCGCATACATCGACATTCGACAGTCAGAGAGGACGAAGTATCACGTGGTATCACTCGTATACCTTTCTCTTTCGCACTCCTTACCACGCTTAAACACACTTGCGGCCTATACAAAACAAAAGCATTCCACCTCCATGTATATAATATACTATATACTCAAAGGCACATAGATAATCGTAATTGTTTCCGACAGAATTCGTTAATGTAAATTGTAATCGTAGGTCAACGCACAATAAATTTATATAAACGTATGTCGTATCATTGTGACATCAAAAACGATTGATACGACATACATTTACGTAAAATCAATATGTGTTAACCTACGACTACGATTTACGTTTACGTATTCTGTCGGAAACAATTACGAGAATCTTTCTGTGTCGGCCCATAAATATAAATATATAATATAAATTTCAGACATAATGCAGTCGGCGAGCTTTGAATCTCCTCGAGAAATGTTGCTATCTCATTTCAGCGAGCATCCGACTCACTCGTATGCAGCGCGTGTGTCCTGGATTGTGCCCAAACATTCACGTCCTACAATTACCTGTGAATCTTTCTCCGGTCGTTGCGAATTAGCATCGTTTATTTGGCCAGCGGCAATATTCCTCTGGTGTTTCTCGATGAGAGTTTTGCTAAGTTTTATTAAGGGCACACGTACTTGTCGATTAATCTTTTGTAATTGTTCAGAGGCTGTAATAACGTTAATAATAAACATAAATTAAACAAAATAAAAAAATATTAACGTGAAATTTGAAATAAGCTCACTCACAAATAATTGACAAAATTTGTACGTTTTCTGTCGTTCCTTCCAAGCGCCAAGAAAACGTTAATTTCCGCGTTATATCTTTATCAAACTGCGACACATCGAAGTTTTCAATTTCGTTCACAGAAATATATTCGTGAAGATTTAAACGTGGGATATAAATGTAAGCGTACGCCATAATAAAGAGAGAAAACACTCGACGTGTACGGTACAACTATTGATTCTCGACTGCTGTCAATGACGGTTTCTTATTCTACAGCGTCGTCGCAACAATGACATCATCTCTCCCTTTTCATGTTGCACAGCACTAGACCATCCGCGCAACACATGGGGTTATGCTAACGGCCTCGAAAAAAATGTCGAACTTTAGACTAACAAAGGAAAGGCCAGGTAGGTCAGTGATCCTAATCCCAACTTTTTAGTGAAAATATGAGGCAAAAAATATATACCTATAGTGTCCGAGCGTTTAATTGAATGGGCCTTAGTTTTCGAGTAAGAATTTTCAAAAAATAAATTTTTAAATTATAATTCAATATTTAATAATAAAAAGCGATATATTTCTTTTTTAGTAATTTTATGCGTGTCTGTTGAATTAATTGAATTAAGATACTGGAGTGCGTAGGACTCGGTTAAGTGTTTAATAAATGTTCAATGTCTTATATTAATGTCTTTTATTTTAACTCGCGTGACTGTCTCTGCGACTGTACAATTCTGTATCTAAAACTCGACTCTCGGTTCCCGGGCCTGACCTTTTTCGTATCGGCTGCCCGAAGTCCCCCACTTTTAAACATCACGTTCCGTTAATGAATTTTTGAACAATAATTCCTTTGTCCTTTCAATCGCGGTACATAAGCCGAGGATATCCGCGCTAACCGATCCAGTTTTGTTTTTGTGTGTGGGCCTGTATGTAATGTACATGTGTATATGTATGTCTTGTGTATGTCGTGTATCTAGCAGACAAAATTATTTTACTTTAACTTTTAATTTTACATTTTATTTATTTGGGGCTATGTGATGCAATCACCTTTCATTCAATATCAATATAGCCCGGTAAGTAAAAAGCTTGCTCTCCAATCCGAGAGTCCATGTTCAATTTGTGGATGCTGCAATTTTTTTTAATGCATGTTTTTATTCTATTTTTCATTTTTTATTACTGATATTGTAATGTACGATTTTTTTACATAAAAATTTGTATTTTTTCCTAAGTATTACTATAACAGATGTTGAATAAAAGAAATATATCTTTTTATTATTAAATATTGAATATTATTATTTAAAAATTTATTTTTCGAAAATTTTTATTCGAAAACTAAGACCCATTCAATCAAATGCTCCGATATCTTTATTTTGCCTCTAGTTTTACTAAAAAAATTGGTATCAGGATCCGTGATGCACTGACCTGACCTTCCCTTTATGTAAGCCATCTTTTCTTTACCTGCCGATGTAGCCCAAGGAAAACTCTTCAATGCGTGTTGTCGTGAAATTACAAAGCCAGTTAAATCTTATTAATAAGTGGAAGCATCGACATATCACATTACTCGATGCAGATATTTCTTGTGGAGAATTAATATGATGGAGGATTTTGATATGGATAATTTTTTGAAACACACAATGACTTTTAACAATCGATTGAATCTACTACGTTTATTCACTAATGACGAACTTCGAAAAAATACTCGTATCAATGTTAAAGTCTACCCTAGCAAGCCGTAAGAGAGCTTGTTTTCTAAAAAATACGACGTTATTAACAAATAAACGATATTTGTGTTTACTCGATCATTGCGGTAGAACTTCCGTTAACGGAAAACGTATCACGAGTTTTTATAGAAATAGAAAACGATGTCAGTGACAATAATTTAGGGATAAATGTTGTAAACAAATTATCCTTGTATTACATTACGTCAAAAACAAATCGTAAAATTCGAGTCGGCAATATTGAACGAGTATCATAAAATATCGTATTATTTCGATTTAGAGTGCGAAAGAAAAAATGAAAATTTTCAGGAGAAGAAAATGCAACATCGAGATTAATGAAAGAAATTTTTATCAAAATCGTTTTGCTATTATTTCGTAAATATTTGCCGTATGATTTACAATACGAATTTTTATAATCCATTTTATCAATCGAGAGTCTTGATGTCACTTCACCATTTGTTATAAAATCAAAGTACAATTCTGAGAAATTACTTGACTTGTTAAATGCCGATAATCATTGTCGACGATGATGACACTGTAATGTTTTTGCAGAATGTATTTTCTACAAAGAAAATTAACGGCCAATTAAAACATACATAGAAAAAATTTTTCGTTACTTTTTACTGTAAAATTTACTACAATTTTTATCATAAATTTTATCATGTTTGGTAACAACTAGGCAATCTATTAAACTATACATAGAGAAAGGATTAACCAGCGCAGTTAAAATATAGCCGTAACAGCTAATATGTGTTCTTTAAAATAGAGACTGCTAATATTGTTACTGCAAAAGCTCAATTTATTAGTTGCTAATACTGAGCACAAAAAATATTTACAGCTAGAATTAAATGACGTTTAGCTAATTTTATTGAAGGATATTCAGCAAAATCATTCTTTTGGTGTTTATAGCTTTCTTAGCTATTCCTGTTAAAGTACACTTTTATTTTAGCTAATAAAATTGTACGCAATTTATCTCGCAACAAATATATATTTCATCTTTAATAACTAACTTTTAGCAATGACAAAAGTTCGAATTGTCTACTGATAATTAGTTGATGATACTAACAATAAGTCATTTTTTTCCATGTATTATCAATAACAACGGGAATTTTTTTAATATACAAAAATATTTTATAAACAACATAATAAAAATTTCGAAACAAACTGTAAAATGTTCCAAGACAAAATTCTTACAATGTGCTTTGTAAAATTTATATTTCTAGTAAAATTTTTTCTTTACAAATAAATAAATTGCACATTTTCTAAATTTATTTATTTAATTATAATTTTATAAAAAATTTTACAAAATTTTTAGAATTAAATTATATAATGTAATAATAAATTAGCATTAATTACTTACACGTAAATTATTAGTTTAATATAGTATTAATCACGAGATTTTTATTTCTTTTTTTATATAATTTATTACAAAAGAATTTCTGGGTATTAAAATGAGATTTAGTTCATAAAATAAGTAATTATTTGATTTTATATTAATATCAGTTTCTTACAATACATATATCCTCTTCCGTTTGTTACACGTACAGAATATATTATAACAAAATCATATAATTCTTTAAAATAAAACATTTTTCATAAATAGTTTTTAATAATAATTATATGTAATTGTAACGCTCGTCAAAATGAAATCAAATAAAAATTAGTTATTATAATATATTAATTTATTAATTATATTTGATTGCTTTTTAGTTATTAAATAGTATGTACATAAACTCTCACAATGCGGTTCGTATTGCGAGTATATATAAAAAGTGGAGTATCTTTTCGCATACTATACATAGTAGGCCCGGCGTTTTATGTGTGGATTGTGTGGAGCAATCTATGTCCCAAATCAGATGGGTGTGGATTTCCACACCCGATAAAATCCACACCCTACCACAGAGATTTAGCGGAGGCTATAATAGATAACATTGATAAATTATTGTATGAATTTACAAGTAAAAATAATTATCGAGCATCCACGTTTTTAATTGAAAAAATAAATAATTAAATGTTAAAAAAAATGTGTACTTGAAAATTTTATCAACTACTGGTAGAGTAGGAGGAATAGGGGGAGGGAGTATTTTTCATCAGAAATGACAGAAATTTCCACAGTATTCCACACCTAGAGCCGAGACATATCGCTGGGCCATAGAATGACACGCAGGGTATAGATATATACCGCTCATCATGCAGGTAGCCAAACGCTCTGAGTAACTTTTTAAAAAAAGCAGAAGCACTTTCGTTTGCACGTGCATGCGCTTTCTTCGTGTCTCTTACCACAAGAAAACCTCTCACTTAGGGCAAATACGCAATTCTGAGGGATTTATTTATGGCAAGAGAATTCGAATGAATTATTTGTATATAGTTGACTCGAGAAGTACTCCAGTTGAAAAAATTATTATTTTAAATCGTTTATTTTGTTTGAAGAGTTATAAAGTGCAATTAAAAAGGTTTGTGAGTCGTTCAGTTAATTGTAATTAATCATTTTTTAATTAATTAATCATTTTTACCTGCTAATGTATTTAGCCCGAGGAATTAAATAGGAGATAAATTAAATAATGTTTTGGTATGGTAATCGTTGTATTTTGTAAAATTATAAAATATCATTTAAAAGGTTTTTGAAAAATTATAAAATATCATTTAAAAGGTTTATGAGTCATTCAGATAATTATAATTATTACAGCTCGAAACGGGGATAACCAGCGTTACGCGCCGCTCATGCGTAGCTATTGCCGATGGTAATAAACAACTCCCGCGCGCCTATCTCAATCGCTGAACGACCGCATCTCACTGCGCATTTGCATTTGGCGGTAGGCCAATCAATAACTCATGCATTAACTATTGCAAAAAAATTAAAAATGGTAGAGAACTTTTCGACTCACTCAGTTTAGTCTTCTTAATCCGCACACAAAAATAGTATCAAATATTCTGGAACACCCTGTATCTTTTATTGCTCACCTTTCTCACGTGTACAATAGTATGCTGTCGTGATGTCACATGGTACCCACATGCTTGACCGTATTGAACCTTTACAAAGGGCAGGCATTATAAAAAAAAGAGAAAAATATGTCCTGAAGCAACCGCAATCCGTTGAGCAAAGTGTCAGCGCATCGTGTTTGACACGCTATGCGAAATTAGTTATGCTTGCAGAATGCCTGCAGTAAAATAAAATTCGACTGCACATCATGACAGCATCATGCAAATATTATTTGCTCTATCATATACAAGATATATATAATGCCTAATACTGGCACAACGCACTCAACCATGGACATATGAAATATATATATAGAGATATAACGAGTATAAACTGCTATTGGGCAAGAGGGAGTCTGATATTCGAAGTGAAGGACATTCATCTGACATCAGTCTGGCTCATTCGCCGATAAGACTCGATAATTACATTTGGCATACATTTATATGTCGTCATGTTATATGCATTATGCATGACATATGTCTCCCAAGCGCATACACGGAAAGAACAATTTTGTTAAAAAGTCGAAAAACTTTGTTGAATACAGATCTGAAAATAATTTTTGTTCAATAATCAAAATAATTTGTTGGGTAGTTAAAAATGATAGGCATTGCTATAAAACATTT